TTGAAACGACTCAGCGAAGTGTGGTGCAAGCATCCTCAGACTTCCACAGTCGCAGCCACTGACAGCTGCTTACGGCTTACTGATGCTGCTGCTGCTGCTGCAACTCCACCTACAGATACGGATTTGTGGCATTAAAAGGGGTGAGGAGTGTGGAAAGAGGGGGGTGAAGCAGCAGCATCCGCTGTTACTTCAGAACAAAATGCAAAAACAAATGCGACGAGACGATGAAGCCAACGACCGCAAACGTGCAGCGACAACAACAAAGGCAGCGCTCCAAAAAATGCAGCAGCCAAACAAACCACTCGACTGGGATCGGAATTCGCTTCCTCCCCCTCACCAGCCCCGCTCCGTCCCTTCGACTGTCACGAACCGGAAGTAAAAACGTGCCAACAGAAGATGCGAATTGCTGCTGCTGCTGCTGCGACTGCTGCTGCTGCTGCGACTGCGATGTTGCTGATGCCGTGATGTTGCTACTTTTGCCACTGCTGATGTTGCTGCATCTGCATCTGCGGCGCTCGCGAAATCAGGAAAGCAGCAGCAAGTGCCAGTCGCACAGTTCTCTGCATTCGCGTCCAGTTTAAGGGATGGGGTGCACTGAGCAAAATCAGCATAGTAATAAGAAGTGGTTCACAGATATTAAATTCACTCAAATGTTAAATATAGATTTTTCTACCAAAAATTAATTATAATTATAGGGTTGTCATATGATTAAACTGACATGTTTTCAGAACTTGTGTTTAGATCCTTTAAGAATGTAGAATAATCCGGAAAAGGGAATACACGTTTCCAAAACAAACTAGGCAATACAAAATTTCAAAAATTAATTTAATTTTAAATTTAATTTCTTCTACATTTCGTTTTAGTTTCGCAAGAATCTGCCCCAGCTTGGCTTACTTTTTCTGCCAGTGCATGCCTCTCTCCACAGAATAAAGTTTGGCACACAAAAACGTTCAAGTCATCGTTGCACTTCCCCTCGAACTAAAACTAAAACCAAAACCGGGAACCCAGCAGAGCAATTTCCCAGCATCATCATTTGGCACTTGTCTCTCCGTTTCTCCTGGCTTCTCTACGGACTTCTCACATTTTCTCCGCTGTTCGCCTGTTACAATTTTAAGCTATTTTTATTGAAAACGAGCGATATTCTCAGCGTTGCGGCGGAGAAAGAGCGTTGAGGCGCAGAATTGATGAAACTGTGTTAAGTGCATACTTTGGGTTTTCATGATAAAGTTGCTGCCCCCTCCCAGTTCCCGAAAATGCGAGGAAAACTTCTTACTTGGAGGGTTTTGTGGGATGGCTTCATTGTCACTGAGTTGCAGCAAAAACTTGTGCGCGCAAAGAAAACTCAACAAATTTGAATGATTCCCCATCAGATATACAGGCACATGCATATAGTTAGTTTTCTTTACACATATATACATATTTCCAGAGTGCAATCTTGAAGAACCCTCATTTTCCCGGTGCTCCCCCTCGCCATTTGTCGTAATTTTCTTGCTTTTTTTCAAACAAAAACTGCGCTTATTACGACAGCCCCGATGCATTAGAAGCTTCTCCTCTGGTATTCCGATGGGGCGGGGAAAATCAGGGAAAGGGGGTCATTTGAGGAGGGGCTGGAGTGGCAGCCGCTGCATTTTAAGCTGCTCACACTCAACCCAGCGAAACTCAGTTCGCACACACAGCTGCCAAGTGGCCGAGACTGAAAACCGAGCACCGAAACAGCAACAGAGAAACAGATATGGGGACAGAGGCACTGGCTCTGTACAGTGGACACTGCGTATGAGGGAAGATCTCTTGAAAAGTTTGAAGTATGCTGCCACAGTTAGGAGAGTACTCAATTACAAGTATTTAAGAGCTGCATTTGTTGTAACCATAAGTAAAGCATTTAATCTACACAACTTTGGCGTTTTTGTCCATGGAGTTTTCCCTGTGAGCGCTTCTGCTTTAGCTGCTGTTTCGGAGCCTGCATCTCGGCTCATTTCGATTCATTTGCCCTTCTCCTTCCGGCGTTCCCTGAATCTCAGTTTTGTTCCTGGACTTCCTTGGCTTAAATATGCTGCGGTGTGTGTGTGTGAGTTTGGGCATCCCTGCGGCCTTTGTGAGCTGCAACTCAGCTCCTCCATTTCCAGTTTTCGCACATCTCGCCCCGTGCTCTTCCGTGTATTTGGCAAGTGCTGGCAAGTGGAGAGAAAGAGGCGCACAAGCATCCATTTGCCCATGAGAACGATGAATCCAGAACCGAGACCGAGAACCCAGCGTTGAGAGACCGAGAGAACCCGAGAGCTGCGTTTCCAGCAACAACCACAACGACAACAACAACAACAACAGCAACAGAAAAAGAAGAAAATAAAAGCTATATACACATATAGGCGAATCGCAGTTCGTACCCCCGATTTCTGTGAGTGGAATGGAGCTGCTGGCCACTTCTGAACGCCTGTTCTCAAACGACTCAAACTGAGAGAGAGATAAAAGCATGCTGTGCAAGATGATGCTTCTGTGTTGATAAGGCCCCCGATTGTCGCAGTGTGTGTGTCTGTGGAAATTGAGCACAATTCCTATACGCACCAAGTATCTCATGGATAGCCATATAGACCGCCACCTACTTATGTACTTTGCGATTCATCCGTAGGCTGAGATTGAGATTGAAGCCGGCGTACTGGGCTGAACCGCCACAAGACCAAAACAAAAACAAAAAGACAGCTTTTCTTGAGTGAATTATGAAGTTGTCTTCGCCCGTTACGTGGGTGGTGGTTTTCCCCCCTCCCGCTTTCCATTCCATCCTTAAGTCTCGATTTATTGTTGTACTTAAAACAGAGTCACTGCTCGGCGAGGCCCCTCTTCAAAAATCCAGAAACAGACGACTTTGTATGACGAAGAAAGAGTTTTAATCATCGAGAAGTGGACGGAAACCGTTAGGTGGATCATAAAATAGAGATGAAAAACTTTGAAATGCTTTTTTGTCGTAGCTGTAAATGCAACTGACACACAAACTCAAAAGACGCACCGCGATCACGAGTGGAAAACTGTTTTGTGCATGTGATTGTATCTGCATCTTTGCCCGTGGAGCTGAACATGGAAATGGTAATGGAGCTGTTGATGCCGGACACATGCAAATGCATTCTTCTGGGCCACTCTAATGATCACCACCATGACAATGGTCATAATGATGCGGCTTTCGATGATCGGACACTAGCTGTTCGGAAAAGAAAAGGCTACGAAAAGTCCAATAAAATCTGAGCTTGACATCGTTTATCACTCACTTTTCTTGGTCTGCGGGTCATATAAGTCCACCTTTTTATGGCCGAGGAAAATAAACTTCGAAATCAAATTATCGTAGGAATATAAAAGCACCATTTATTTGGCTACACAATATGAAACAAAACTGATCATAAAACATAAATTGAAATTTAAAATTGAAAACTATCAAACCATTGGAGAGCCGCAAGAAACATTTAAGTGATAACTGAACAATGTAACAAAATAGTAAACACTTGTAATCACTGATTAATTGACTACAACCATATAGACATAAGCAAATATAAAATCATTTTTACTGCCGGATTGCCAAACAGCTAAGTTTGCATACCCCTGCAATTTTAACTCGCCAATTTGCGAATTCGTTTGTGGAAACCATTGCCTATCCAGTTATGAATCCCGAAAATGTCTCATCTGCATGTCCGGCAATCTGCAGTTGCTCCTTTGACATCCAACTATGGCAACTCGTTCGTTTTGCAGATGAAACCAAGATGGAGCCGAGCGATAGATGATCCCATCTGGAGTTTGGAGTTCAGCCTGGACTTTCACTTTGCTTGGCTCACAAATTCTAGCTAATTATGCAGCATCTTAGCCGAGATTGGGCAACTCCTGGCCGGCAACTCTGCAATTTGGCCATGTGGTTGGGGGCTAATGCTGAGGCTAAAAACCGAAAAAAAAAGATACTGATGCTGGGGCAAATCTGGGGCCGATCTGGCCATGTGGGTTTTTTTGCCATGAGCCAGAAAGGCAAACAAAGCTTAGGCCGTAATAACTTTGTTTTGGGCCGCACTGCAGTTTTGTGCTGCCGTTATTACTAAATTTTTGTTAGCAAAATATTCCGACTTTCATTTTCACGAGACTGAGCTGCGTTGAAAGTTGATTCGCCGCAGATACAGTGTATCTTTTGGACTGATCGCGTTTGACTGCTATTTGCCGTTACTCGACTCAAGGTCAAAATGAGCTGAAATTGTTGTCAAGTTAAAGAATGCGTTGACAATATTTTTTGTTCAACTTAATTAAAAGGCAAATAGCACACAGCTCGCACAAAAACAAAGCACAGAAAGCAAGAAGCGAAACGAAACGAAACAAGAAAACCAAAACTGATAAAAGGTTTTATCAGCCAGCCAGCGCGGAGACATTAACCACGATAATTATACAAAACATGTGAGCCGCAGTGTGGACCTGCAGACAATTGGAAAGAGGGCATAAAACAACAGCAAAGTCGACCGCAGATACAGATACAAATTGTATCTGGTGCAGCCAGTGGTTGGTGATAAGCGGATGAGGCCACGTGTGGAATGTGGGGCGCAGACTATCTGCAGATAGATATGTATCTTCTCTCCAGCGGCAGTTCAAGGAAATGTTACCCAAGTACTTAGATACCTAGATACTCAGCTACAGATACTTGCGCCCCATCGAAACCACGACCAATTTGCAAATACTCCTCGTGCGAACATGAAACTTTATCTTCAGCTAGAAGAGCTGCCCTCGGCAGCGCGATAAAAATCCAATTTTGATAAGCTCCTAAATTATGTTTAAAAACGAACGATCTAAGGGGTTTATCTTGCGGTTTCGACTGCGCCAGCTTATCATTTCGCTTTTATCTCACTCATTTCACAACGCATAATAAATATATTCTTAGCAATAACTTGCCTAATTATAAGTTTACGACTTTGCAAAATATTTATTTTCGTTTTATTGCGTTCTTAATCTTCCCATGCTGTTGTTTAAAATGAACTTCGAGCTTTTATTGTTTTCTTTTATTTATTTATTGGTGGATTATTATAGTTATTTCTGAAGTGATCAAAATTAGTTTATTTTCCCGTTTCAAGATGGGTAAGGATACTATTTTTTTTTTTCTTTCTACTCGCATTAAGGGGTATAAAAGCGGTCGAGTTGGCTGGCTAAGGAGTCGGTCTCCGTCCCATAACCCCAACCAGTTTCGGCCCTTAACATCCTCCTTCTCGAATGGTTGATTCTGCTCCCGTTGCCGCTTCTGTCACCAGGCGGTGTTTCCAATGCACTTGGCCCCCAACTCCTCCGTGCGCAAAGAGCGGTCATCATCATCGTCGTCATCGGCTAAACCATCGATGTGTGTGGCCCGGCCCTTTTGGGGATGGGGTCTTGGAACTGGGATGGGATCCCTGGATGGGGACGCGAACTGAACTGGGGACTTTGGGCTCAGTTGTCGGCGCCGCTGGAATGCTGTTAGTTATAAAATGGCCACAAAAACATAACGCGGGCGTGGGCTGCCACTGGACTCTGTCTTGCTGCTCTTTCTTCCTACACTGTCAGAAAAATGTACAATGAAAAATTCACAAAATCAAGCTAAGGCGCCATGGCACATTTGATATTGTAATAAAGCAAAGGCATTCCTGATATCATAAAAATATGATTTCTGGTATCTTAAAATATAACCAAAATATTTACAATTCATATTATGCATTTCTGATTAATAATTGATTAATTGGTGTAAGATTTTCTCGCCCTGTGGAACCCGAAACGCCGAACATCACATGACCGATGACGAGTTGCTGCCTCCGTCGAGGTTTCCGTCCAGAATCTGTGTTCTGTCCGACTCTCTCCCACAGCATCCACGCATTTTAGAGTTTGGTCCGTCTGGGCTGGGGGTTTTTTTAATGGAACCCGAGTTCGGATGGGCTGAGTGTGAATTGAAATGTATTTTTTACATACCCGTACATGTGTTCTATGCCAGTCGATTGGATCTCGAAAATCAAATCAAAACTCGTCGTCGTTTTATGGCTTTTTAGAAACTCTAGGAACTCGTTTTGTTCGATTTGGTTCTGTTTTTGTTTTCCCTCGGTCTCTGTTTGTTGTTCTCGTTATTATTATTATTATTTTTCTATGCCCATTTCTATGTGTCGGCGGCGTTGGTGGCTCGCTTTGAATAATGATGATAAGGCCCCAGACTCGCCTTTTCGATCCCAGTTGATTCTGAATCCGATTCCGTACCAATCCGTCCATCCATCCAGCCATCCATCCAACCATCCATCCAGCAACCCATCTCTCTCTCGGCGGCTTGATTATTGATTTATTGTCTGCTTTTTGGGTCTGTGTCGCACAGGTAAACGGGAAAGAAATCGTCACGGATACGCAAAACGGTCAGCACACCGAAATGTATCTCGAGGTACGCTTTTGTATCTCCGGCCACTATGCAGATACATTTTTGAAGCGCACGCTTCAGCATTTCATATGTTGTTGTCATCAATTTAAGAACAACGACATCGTCGGCCAACAAAAGAGCCCAGAAGAACTAAGCCGATATGAGCTGAACTGAACTGAACCCACAGCCAGAAACGAGAAAAAAAAAACAGAAAACATTCTTCTCGACTTGATCCCGAACGTTCTCATAATTTGTTTGCTCCCCCCTATACCATACCATCCATACCATTCCATACCATTTGGCCATTGTGCGACCGCGGACTGTGAGAAAGATTTTATTTCGTTCAAGTGGTTTTTGATTTAACACCAAACAACCAAGCAAAGAGTGGAAAATATTTTAATGATGCGTCGTCGACGTCGCTGCAACTGAAAAACAAAAAAAGAGGAGAAAAAAATGGAAAACAAAAAGATTTCTAACTTGTTTTTCGGTGGCCTTTCTTTTTTCCGCTTCTTCAGCGGTGCTGTTCTCAATTTATTTGTGGCTTGATTCGGAAGACATTCGTTCGATTGATTAGCTTTGGCTGGGAAAGCTGGCGATCACTTTCGAATCGAGGTCGTATTAAATGGGTTTCATCACCCCTTTTCCTCTTTCTGGGCTTCCGCACCGGAAGGGTTAAGCTCAAGAGTGCTGCACTCGACAAGCTGCCAATGAGGTCCTACAATTGCCCAGGATCCTGGTTCCTGTCCGATGCGGTTTAACATCTGTCACGGCTGTTTCCTTCCTGGGACCAGGAAAAAAGTATATACAAAAAACAACGACAATAACAACTGAAACCGCATCGTGTGCTTTGGACTTAAGCAGGCAAAATATTGAGCAGCTTTATGAGGTATTTTAACAATAATTGACATACATTTATGACCATAAGGAAGGGCAGAGGAGGGCTTATTGGTTCTGTGGTCAAGTTGGTCGGTTGTCAATGAAAGTCCATAGACAACATCCAATAGCCGATTAAGATGACTAAGAAAACTAAAAATAGTCAGGTGTTAATCTAACTAAAGCGTGTGAAATGATAAATGATATTTAGCTATTTGTTAATTTATACAAAGAATATTCAAATAATATTAGACGTGAATATCCATAATGGGTTTATATAATATTAAGGGACAACATAAATGTTTCTATATTCAGGTATAGATTACCAGCTATTTATGTATTGAATTTCCAAATCAAAAACTTTTAAATTTGGCCAATTTCAACCATCATCTCAAGTAAATAATATGTATAAATTTATATTGGAAAGCAGTACCACAATCATTATACAAAATTCAGATACCAATACATTACACAAATTAGGGTGATTTTATTTCGCCTTATAGCATTCATAATTTGCTGCCAACATGCATATTTTAGCAATAAGAGCAGGAATATATTTCACAGCTCGAGTATGTAAAAGCCACTCATGGGTTTCCCTCTTCTGGCTTTTGATATAAAGCCGACTGCTTAATGCACCCATCCTCTGGCCAGTACCTTTACCCCTTCACTACTCCTGCAACTAATGTGACACTAATCATGTGACCTCGAGTGCCGCTGGCCACATTTTTATGACCGCTTTGCACGCTGTTTACACACGACAATCGTCGATCGAGCAAAGTTTTCCAACATTCTCCAGAAAGAAGAACAGAACAGAGGTTGGTAAGAAAAGAAAATGCGATCCATTCATGAAAGAAATGCCATTCTAATGCTTTCTTCTCGCTGTGCCTCTATTGTGGCACCTTTTCGTTGGGTTCTCCGAGGGGAAATCAACAAACCAAGAATGGGAAAATGTGTTAAGGGGCAGCAAATGGGACTGAAAAGGTTTCTTTATAGCGTAGGTCGGCAGAAGGAGGGAAAACGGGAACTGCGTTCGATGATTGCAGAGAGAAAAACAAGGAATACATTTAATAAAGTATATGCAATGTTTTTTAGTTCTTATTCGTCAGTTACTGAGTTTGGTATAAAAGGCACTCTTAAGAAATATTGCAAAAGCGTATTATAACCTACTTGCATTGTGCAAACGTTAGACAACTTTTCTCTCTGTGTAACATTTGATATTCACCTTTCGTGTTGTAGTTGCCTACTCAAAAACCCACAACGCGTGTCAGAGCAACCAATTAGCCCAGCGAGTGCGAGGGAGAGAGATAAAGAGAGAAGGAGACGGAGATGCGCATGCGCGACCTTTTGTGTCCTGTTTCAGGGGTTGTATGATAACAGAACAACAAGATCTCCTTAAACTGGTGACGCTGATGAGCCGCAAACTGCGCAGGAAGCAACTCCCTCGTTCCGCTCCCCGTTCTCCTTTTCCCCGCGCGATTGACAGGCGGCATTTAGGGGATAATATCGGGGGAATATGGCATATACAGTATATACACGAATGCAGGATCCCAACCCCTGGAGAATATCCAGGTTCGAGGTTCGAGTATGGAGGATGGAGTGTGTGTAGGCAGGAGACGCAGCAGGACGCGCTCCACAAAATTTCATTAAACATCTGCCCGGCTCATCATCATCATCATCATCACAATCAGCCTTCTTACCTTCGTTTTAACTTTGTTCTTTTTGTTGGTCCTGTGCGAGGACATGTGCGTTTTTAGTTATTGAAATTTTTACTTGTTTTGTCCCGTCTCTATGCATTGTGCATTGAGTATTTAATTGCAGATAATATCGACAAAACAAAACAGCAGGCGGACGACGAGGACCAGAATCAACAGCTGAAGTGCCCGGAAATGCATCTGTGCAGCAAAAGGGGCTCCCCTGCAGTCTCCTTTCTTCGCCAGGATCTCCTGCCCTTTCCCCCCGCAGTCCTGTCCCCCCCCCCCCCTCTTGACATTCGATTTCTTTGCCGTGGAGGCTCGAGCACGTGTCAATAATTGTTCAGATGGCGAATGGAGCCCCTCGCAGGTCCTCGAACAATCAGCTGTCGTCTTGGTGGAGTTGAAACCATTCAGCTTACACAACTTTACTTTAGGGAGATGATGAAGGCGCAAACTACACAAGAAAACCATTGTTCTGTTGCCAGAAAAGCGGGGATACGAGTTTTTATCATGGTACCAGGTTTACCAGGAACAGAGCACATATATTTAGAGCGCCATAATACGAAATATTATGCCTAACTGAGTTTAAAATATCTAATCAATCACCAACATTTTATGCGCATTTCTATAATATCTTTAATCATGCAACCAACGAAAATGTGATTCGTCAATAAAAGTCAAGTTCGCAGTTGAACTTTCTCAAACTATTACCAATGTTATAGCTTGGCAATTATTATTGCTTTCCGTAGATTTTCCCAGTTCTAATGGCATTCCGCTATTCAGGACACCGCTCCTTCTATTTAGGCTGCTGTCAATCAATTCCAGGCGTTAATTATTCGCAACTCACCATCCAGTGAGTTTGAATGTGGCCATCCGATTGATATATTTATTTACCCAGCTTAAGTCGGCCCACATCGCGGATTTGCGTTTGGCAAGATCTGCCGGCCAACCAATGCAAATTAGTTGCGCACTTGGTCAACAGTTAACTCATCATCGCCAAACAACTTCCAGCTGCCTCTCTTCTCCGTAAAAGCTAACGGCAAAGCTAAGGCCAACTGAAGTTGGCCAAGAAGATGATGAAGAAGTAGAAGAAGAAGAGGGAGAAGAGGGAGAAAAGAGAAGCCAGCAAAGAAGCTAATGTAATTGTGTTTGTAAATGCCATAAAGTTGGCAACACTTGCTGTGCTGTGAATATGTTTGCCCACCAAAGACCCCTTCATTTCACCGCCCACCTCGCCGCTCCCTTGCGGCCTGCTTTACCGCCCACTTTGGCCCCCCTTTTCCGCCCACTTTGGCCCCCTTTTACCGCCCACTTTGGCCCCCCGCTCAACGCTTGCAAATGAAGTTCACGAGATGGTCAAGACGATAATGTTGGCGAGCGCATTTGCCAAGTCATGACTGTTGCTGCCGCTCTGATGTTGCTGCTGCTGCTGCTGCTGCTGCTGCGATGTTGCTGCTGCTGCGACGTTGCTGCTGCCCTGACACCGCAGCAACATCAACATCAGCAACAGCAGCAGCAACACAAGCGAACGAGTTTCTGTTGCTTTTCTGCTGCTCTTGTTGTTGTCCATTTTGTCGCCATCGCTGTGCCCTCAAAAAAAGAAATAGTTGGAAATCAAATCAACAACAAAAGTAAAACAACACCAAACAGCAACTGTCCAGCGGGAAAATCGAGGAAAACCGAAGCGGCTAATACACTTGGCAGCTATTTAAATTTGGCTATATTCATAAAATAAATAAATCATTAAATGAGCTGACAAATTAGTGGAAAGTAATTTTTGATAGTATTGAAACAAATATTTATCTTATAATATTAAAATAAATACTTCAGTTGGAGAATCAGGGCATAAGTAACTTAGATAAAAATCAACTATTTACATATTTTAAGAATCTAATTTTGCTTAATTTGTCACAGTTTCCTTATTTGTTTTTAACCCTCTTCGAAGAGTATCGCTGCTCAAAAGGCAACACAACAGCGACAAATCTATGTAAAACTCAATTGAAGTGCTCCC